CTGAAACCGGTTTGAGTTTCCCGGGCCTGACGTCACTGCCAACGCTCACTCATTGGCCCAGTTTAGGAAGACCAAGCGTTCCCAGGACAACAAAACGCTAAACAACTGACCGAGGTAACCTGCGGCAGCTACTGACCCGCTCAGAAACACCGAGGATTAACATTCGCTTCAGTACATTCGAAGTTTTCTGCGTTAAAGAAAGTTAAAGGCTTGAGTTGAGAAAGCGGGAATCCAGGAGAAGAACCTCAAACATGGTAAATCCTAGAAGCGAATTTAACGTTAGCTTGGCTGCTAGTTCACGACCTCAAAGTTAACATAACGCCGGTTTCTGGTCACGTGTTTTCTCCTCCCGTGTTATTGTTGTGGACACAGAGTGGTAACAGGATGTACAGCCACCAGCAGAGGTTAATGGCTCAGCGGCGGGTCCAGGAGCAGCACCGGCAGCAGGAGGCCCAGCGGGTGGACAGAGAACGGCAGGTCCAGGCCAGCCTGAGGGAGGAGGAGGGCTTCGAGAGGAGGAGGTATCTGCGACAGGTGCAGCAGGAGCTCAAGGAGCAGCAGATAGAGAGCGCACTGCTCAAGGTTTGTGTGTCTGTTTCGGGGGTGACAATTGACATTTAAGCACGCTCTATTCGGATTTATTTTTCTGAATATATTGGTTTTCACTTTTACAGGTGAGAGATGGATCCATTCTGAAATCTGGTGAAATTTTTAATCAGAAAAATCCTTTCAGCATAATAGCAAATACTTCAAATGAAAAACTAAATAAAATTCTTCTGGAATTAATTAAAATGCATGTAAAGTATCCAAATGAAACTAAATAAAGCAGTAGTTGTTTTTCCTTGCAGCATAAATAAAGTAATGGAATACATCTAGTATAAAGGCATAGAATAAGAGATTTTGAGACCATCTCCATTTACATATATAATCTTCTTCTTTCACTGTTCCAATCACCACAGTGGATCAACTCCTATCTCACCATAGCACCAACCCCCCCTCCTTAATTATAGCCATGAATTCCCCCTAAGATCTTCCTCTTTTCCTCCTTCTTAGCAGCTCCATCTTCAACATCCTTTGTCCAGTATATCCAATGTCCCTCCGCTGCACCTGTCCAGACC